ATCAATATTTATTAAGTTAATACCAGAATCTGCCAGCCTAACTGCTATTAACTACTTTATTGAAGTTTATTTCACAAAAGAAAAAAAAAGATAAAAGTAATGGACTAATGGTGAAAGCTGGGAAGTGTAGGCAATTCATAGATAACCAGCTAACTCCGGACCACATGGTTATGAAGAAACTTTATTGGTATATATATCGTATCTTTACTATTATGACAATCTACTAGTTTTATAAATTGAATACATTGCATACTTGAATATTTATTAAAATACAGTTAAATTAACAAGTGTTTTTGATTTTCGAATTTAGAATATTAAAGTAAATTTGTACAGTTATATAACTGTCTCTAAATATTGCTTAAATATTTTTCTATTTTATTAACATAAATGAAATAATAATTTTAAGAATTACTGTTCTATGTGTAGTTGTCTTCCGTATGCATGTTCTATTTTTAGATTTAGAGTTAAACTGAAATTTTGCTTCTTGAACACTCATTTTGAATTAGTTAATATTAAATTAAAGTTTTGAATTAATAATATCTCTAATGTAAGGAAAATTTATATGAAATTAAGGTAATATTTTTGAATTATTAGAAACATATTCAACGTCCAAGGTTAAAATCTATTTTTTAGGTTTCCCAGTTTTTCCAGATATGTTCTTAAAATAGTACTGAACACTACAGTATAATCTATTTATAGATCTACTGCTCAAATTGGTTACATTAATCTGTAAAATTGTGCAAAAGTAGCTTTAAATTTGAGTGTAGCAAATTTTATAAAGAATTAAGATGTTTACATGTAATTTGGATGTAAAAAATATAAAGAAAAACACAAAAAGTGTTCAAAAATTGATACAAACATCAAATTGAAAATTTACATACATAATATTTTTATTTTTTGAATATTTATATAGGTCAAATGCCTGATTCCTGTCTTTTCTTCTTCTGACTTTTGTACATATAAATGCTAATATCTCAAATATTCACAATACAAAGTTATTTTAATTAAGATGTGAAGAACATGACAACCATAACACTCTGGTAATTATTTTCTAATTATTTCTTTAATTTTTATTTGTTTCTTTTGACAGAGGAGCATTGGCACTGTATGCAGTGTTCTTGTTGGAATTCTCTTGTTGCATCTCAAAACTGATCAAAACATAACATATAAGTATGAATAAAAATTATAGGTTCTTGAATAATAATTATAATCTTATTTCTAAGATAATATTGTTGGTAAAAAGTACTATCTAATGTTTTACACCAAGGTTTAATTTTTTTGTATCTGACATTTCTATAAAGACTTCAGATGTAACCAAGTTGGAAATACATTTTAGGCCTAACATAATTTTAAAACAAAGAAAACTAGAAAAATTAATTGAGAATTTGGAAAACAAATTATTATAAAAAATAAATAAATAAATAAACAATTAATGAAAATAAATTAATGGAACAAAAATAACATAAATAAATAACTTTTGAATGAATAAATAAATGATAAATTACTAATGTATAATCTCGAGATTAGACAAGTCAGTATAAGGATTTGTTACTGAATAGTGATACATTGTTCTAAATTTTCAGATCACTAGTAATTATTCACAGGTAATGCTTTCAAAGTATACTATTCTATTTCATCCTTTGAGAGAACAGTATGTTAAAAGATCATGCTTAACTCAATTAAACACATCTGGTACTTACTATTAGGGAAAAAAGGGGATTTTGTAAAAATCAAAGATATACATATATTATGTCATCTCAGAATAAGCAAAACTGCATGTACAAAAACCACACAAACAAAAACAACCAGACAGTATATACAACATACCACACACACATATATAGACATACATATAAATACACACACATATTTATGACATTTTGACTACTGACACTTAAAATTTATCATGCTTAAATGTAAAAGGGCAAGGGAGAGCATACAGATAAGTTTGAATTTTGAGTATTACTATAGTTGCTTCCCTTTAATCTAAGTGGAAAGATATTATTGATGGATAAAAAGTGCTGATTTATTTAAATGTTTGAAAGTAAATTGATTCATGTAAATAACTGTGCATGTGATTATTCACAATGAAATCATAGAACCAGGAGTTTGGTAGAGTTTTTAACTATATACTGTATCAATGTATACACTAAAAGCTGAAATATTTTGATGATAATAATATTAACAATCACCATTGTTGTTGTTTTTTTTATTTTTTTTTCTTAGTATTATAAGTATTTTTAGACTGGCGTTTCTTTGTTGTTGTTTTTTGTTCTTTTGGTTTTTTGTTGTTGTTTTTTTCTTCCTGTTTTCTTCATAAAGGACTTTTCCCCCTGTATAAATTATTAATTAATTAATAACAGTAAACATATTTTATATTTTTCTTATCAAGCCTATAAAAATATCTACATGAAAAGTACTGGAATAAATGATATCTTGAAAAATGATGTGGGGAGGGCTGTTGCTAATGTTGTCATAACTTGTAGCCCGACCATTTGCACCATATATATCTGTTTGTGAATATTTGTTTTTGTATTATTCAAGTAACCCATGTATTTATGTAAATGATAACGGTGATAGATGCAACAAAATATTATTAAACTTAACTTCAGATGTGTCAGATTCAAAACCATTTCTATAGAAAAACTTTAACAACAAACAATAACTGCTTCATATTCGTTTTTGTAGGGGTTTGTAGGTGTTGGAGGAAACCAAACATTTAAAAGAAATAAGGTGTATGGAAAAACTAGCATAGAAAAAGTAAAATTTCAAGCATAAACTCTAAATGTATTAAAGTAGAATGTTGTAGATTGCATGCAGCTAAGTCATAGCTAATTATGTCACAAACTAAATATTATTTCACCAATATTTAAAACCTTATCTTCATATATTTAATAACATTATCTTAACTTTTTAATAACAGATTTGCCCAGCAGTACATTAACAAGAGCTGTCACAGGAGACAGCGAAGCTCGACTAATAAAATACTGGACGCAGTAAGGAGGACAAAACTATGAAAGCAAAATCAATTATGTATAATTATGTATTAAGTTATAGTAAAAAATAACATTTGTTAACATAAATTCCAAGATCAAGGGGAATAATTCTAGAAATAGTCATGCTAGAGTTATGGACCTTGCCACACAACATTTGTGTAATGACAAGAAATATATATTTGAAGTTTAAAGAAGATACCTTAAAAAGAAAAGAAGTTATTATATTTCTTAAAAAAAATCCTAAGTTCAAAGAGAGATAAATCTGTAAATATTGCTTCAAGAGGTATGAACATTGTCACATAAAATGTAATTGATGATAACGAATAAGTATTTGAAGTTTGAGGTAGATACCTTTAAAAATAAAAAAGTTAAAATAAAAAATAACATTTTTATAGTAAAAAAATCTAAGTTTATTGGGAGATAATTCTTGCAATATTGGTGCTAGAGTTATGAACCTTGTCAGATAAGATGTGGATGATGATAACATAAATATATTTGAAGTATGAAGTTGATCCCTTTAGAAATAAATAAGTAACAGTAAAAAATAATAAATTTTATGGAAAATTCTAAGTTCAAAGGGAGATAAATCTGAAAATATTGGTGCTAGAGTTATGAACCTTGTCACATGAGATTGGGATGGTGATAACGTAAATATATTTGAAGTATGAGGTTGATCCAATAAGAAATAAAGAAGAAACAGTAAGAAATAGTATTTTTTGAGGAAAATTCTAAGTTCAAGGGGAGATAAATCTGAAAATATTGGTGCTAGAGTTATGAACCTTGTCACATAAGATAGGGAGGATGATAAGGTACATATATTTGAAGTATGAGGTTGATCCCTTAAGAAATAAAGAAGTATCAGTAAAAAATAGTATTTTTTAAGGAAAATTCCAAGTTCAAGGGGAGATAAATCTGAAAGTATTGGTGCTAGAGTTATGAACCTTGTCACATAAGATGTGGTTGATGATAAGGAACATATATTTGAAGTTTGAAGTTGATACCTTAAGAAATGACAAAGTTATAGTGAAAAATATTTTACTGCACCAAAACTTTAATCTAAAATCTGGACGTGGACGCGGACGCCGACGCCGGGGCGAGTAGGACAGCTCTCCATATACTTCGTATAGTCGAGCTAAAAATAAGAAAGGATTTCAATATCAAAATACAAAAATTGACCTACAAACAGCAGAGCCTTGTCAACCAGCACAGTACAGGCTGGTCTGGCTCTATACAGGAGACAAAAGGTTATCACATTGGCTTCCAGTATTCTGAAGGTTTTAAAAATAGATACTTGGCTGAGGTAAACCTGGTTTTGAGCATTTTGCTTGATAATTTATGTGTATTCTGTGAATGCTGCTCATATACATTAATCATCAATGCTTAGAAATAACATATCACCTTGAATACCTGACTTGTTTGCCAAGTTTCCACATTTAATGAGTAAAAATGTATTGTTATAGCACACAATAATTTTATTTCAATATTCATCAAATTTTCTTATTTCAAAAGATCCAACAGCCTAGAAAAATTAAATTTGAAAATCTTGAATAGATCAACTGGGGCACTTAAAACAGAAAGAAATAATAAGAAGATTAGAAAGAAATATACTCAGAATTGAAAAATTAAAATAAGACATTTATTGGAATCCTTTGCCTGACTGAGTGAAAAGAATTTAATTAAATGGTTTTTACTTTTAGGTAAATTTGGACAATAAACATGATTAATCTGGTAAACCCTAGTGAGTGAATGACCTGAAATTTTGCATACATGTGATTGGTATACATGTTTACCTACATCAAATTGTATTAAGTATCATTTTTTTTAGTTCAGTCACATCAAATAAACCCAGTTGAGTCCCTTTAAAGTTGTATTGTAAATGGGCACATGGATTCCTTGTCCTACATATACAGGGGAAAGGAACAGTGAATAGCCAGTGAATATACCAGAAGTCAAAGTGAAACTACAGTCTACTGCAGAAAAACAACAACATTTATCCCAACTTACTTGTTAAAGATAGCACCAGCAAAATGCCCACCAGCAGCCATAAAAACTGCCCAGTTCATCTGATCAGGAATCCCTGTTGCCAAGGTAACAATGTCTTCTTGCTGGCTTGGATGTGACTGAAACACAAAAATATGCAGAATTAATAAATTAGTAATATAAACAAAACATTAGAAACTCATAGTCAAGAACATCACTATTACATTTAACAAATCATTAAAAGTTTCACACATATAAATTAAACAACTTGTTTTTCTGACAAATGTACCATTACATTTCATTGAAATAATGTTTTGTCTTAAATGCCCCATGCCAAAATTTATTTTATATGAAATAACATAGTTCTGATCAACATTTCTGAAATTTAGAAAGAAAGTCAGAACAGACACAAGGTCTTGTTCTATGGCAAATTGTATTCAAGTATAAGTCAAATATATTTATAAATAACAGTTATGGTGCAATTTACACTAGATTTTCATATTTCTAACAAAACTTTTATTCTATAGAAATTTCAGAAGTAATGTCATACATTGTACATATATTTTAAATACATTTGTATGTCAAAATAAAATTTTGCTGAGAAGTATGCAGTGTCTTAGTATAAAGGAAATGATGAGATTGTGGTCAAAGTTGAAGTTGTCATCTAAAAGACAGACAATAAGGCAAAAATAATCTACCAATGTTTGGGCATGGAAAGTAACCAATTAACAACTTTCAAAATAAAGTTTAAAGTTTGTCAGCCAACAGTATAGAGCCTGGTAAGACTGCACTGATAAACAGACTGACTTTTCTCTACAATGGTGGCAAAAGATAATCACTTTGAGTACCAGCTTGGGTAAGGCTTAATTTCACAAATTTACAACGTAATGTTTCAACTTAAAGGAAGGGTCTGTCTAAAACACAAATCAACCAGTGTAATGGTTAACATAGTATCTAAGACAACCATTCTATAATCACTTTTGACAATGGATAGTTCCAAATTCAAAACAAGGCAAGTCCATTATACAAATACAGCAGTGTAAGGGTTACCATGGTAATTTAGGACTAGTACTAATTACCTTTTTATGACATAGAACACATCTGTAAATTGATAACAAATCACCATCTTTATTCCTGAAATATACCTTTGGTAGTCTTCTAGCCACTTCTTCATACTGAAAAATATATATCCGAATACAATTCATGAAATTAAACTCCTTTTTTTTCCTACAGTAAAATTTTCCATGAAACATTTCTTGTAATGCCAGCAGCAAATATATGTTTTACATCTTTATACAATTCATGAAATAATTGTTTATCCCTTTGGAAAAATTGTCTGTGAAACATCACTTGTAATGTCAGCAGCAAATATATGTGACCAGACATTAGATATACAGGTCACCCCTAACATCTGTGCACTTGTGAGCAGGCTGTATCTAATTTGCTGAAGAATTTTAAATTTTGATATTGCATTACTGGTCACTTAACATTTCTAATTCTAAGTTGCTGATTTTAAAAGCAGTTAAAGCCCAGGTTAGTGAGATAATCCTGAAAACATTTCATATTCAGAACAATTATGCAGTTACCTTATATAACTTTATTTTAACACCTCCTTTTATATAAAATTAACATTAGTCTAAAGTCATGTACAAGCATTATATAATTATGTAGTTTACTACTTTATATAATTTTGTTAGGACCTCTTTTTATATAAAATTAACATAACTTTGCATTCATGTACAAGATCTTATATCAAGACTGCAAGTAATTGCATAACTAATCCTTCTAAAGCAGGTAAGTTCCAAGAAAGTACTTTTTCTGACTAAAGATTACTGAGAAAAAAACATGAGCACTGCATGCAGTGTTGACCGTCATTTGTTTAAGGCAATAGCTATCAATAACTAATATCAACAAAAGTTTGAAGTTAAAAAGGGGCTTAACTCCAAAAGTAAAGATTTCAGAATAATGTCCCTTATCTTAAAACTGCAGCAAGTATTCCAAGATTCATATTGATACCTATTAAAATGTTTGAATTATGGGCTACATTCAAGTTTTTGCACAATATGATTACAAGAATTGTTATACCTTGAATTTTTCACTGAAATAGACAAGATAAACATTTATTTTTTTTCTATTCTTATCTATTGAAACTGCCACAAGGTGTCATTGAAGTTGAAATAAAAAAAACTTGAGACAGGACTCTACATGGATGTTATATATCAACTTTGTTGTTTAATTTCTGTCTTGTTTTAGCTTTTGGCTTCTCATAAAATGGACGAAGAGATAATTACCTGGTTTCCTGATTCACTGTCACTGTCAGTACTTGTATTGCCAGAGTATACATGTCTACGCTGGGAACCAGGCAGTTTTTTACCACTTCCTGTTTTAGACTGGTTATCTGTATCTGTGTCTGCGTCTGTGTCTGAGTCACTTCCTGACAGACTGGATATATTTCCTGAAATTGATAATTCTTTTTCAGAAGCAACTATCACAAAATAAACCTCTTCTTTACCACATGCAAAAGAATATAAAAATGCAGTATCAAATATACACGTAAGTGCTATACATTGTGAAGAAAAACAACATTGTATTATACCAATTTATCACACACCCGTGCCGATTTTGCAACTCCGTAAAAATGGTATTGCACGGCTGTGCATATATTTTGACGTGACGTCAATAGCGTTACACAAACATAGTGTAAAGACACGCTAAATGTTAGCGTTATACTATAGGCGCTTCAATGAAAAATGACTCTTATTTCACTTTAAACGGTATTTAATTTGGGTATGTGATAAATAGAATATTAAATTCGTGTAAGTTCACTACTTAATTTATTGCACTTGTTGAATAAAATAATATTATGTTCGCCAGAGGCTCGCATAATATTATTTTATTCAACTCGTGCAATAAATTCAGTATTGAACTTACACTCATTCAATATCCTCTATTTATCATATTGTATAGTTGTGGAGGAAAAATGGAGTATGAGAGGAGCTCCAGAAAATTATATTATATGTCATGAGTGAGGCTGGTTTCTGTTCTAGCTTCAAAACTTGTTCAATCATCGGTTGTAATACATGGGAAACTGTATGATACTGAAGGTCAAATTGCAATCTAAAATGACTTTATCATTTTCTTACCATTCCTGGAACCAACCCTAAGCAATGAACATTAAAGTTTCTTGCTCAAGGAAATAACAACTCTCCCTCGAGGTTTTATTTCACGGAGCCACAGAGTTTATTCTAGTAAACGATACTGCTGGATCCCACTATTTTTCAAAGTTCATGCACAATTTTTAAACATGTTCTTACCAAGTGTGGATTAATGATTCAAAGGAAAGAATTCTGCTCAGGGTATGTACAGTTAGATAATACTATTATATCTAGCCCTACAACTGAATATATGGCTGCTGATAGCTAACAGGGGTATTTATATAATATACATGTACAACTGTACTCTGAAACAATACTGGACCTGGTCATTTGAAAAAAGGTTAAGCTAACAGTAATTAACTTAAAGAATTATTAAGTAACAAAAAGTTCCTGGCTTGATATAAACAAAATTGGTTAAATATTATGCAATTACTGTTCATTTTATTGGCACCTCTTGTTTTTGAAAATTTCGCCCTTTTTTAAAGTGAGGGGGGAAATTCACCCCTATATTTGAATTTCTAGAATAGACACTATGGCGAGCAATACTTAGATTACTAGTCTAATGTGTTTATTAAAATTAATTGTTGCTTACCAGATATATCTTCAAATTGTTCCTCACTAACTTTTTCTTTACCCTTTAGTCGTAGTTTCAAGTTATACCTATGCCAGTCTGATCTGTAATGCCTCTTCTACAATATAAATGAAAATGTCATTCATTCCATGTTTGCAAAATTGCAATTAAAATGCAACCTCTCACTTCACCAAGTATATACATGTATGAGTATTTATTCTTGCATAAAAACTGTGCACATTAACACAGGACAAAGCATGCATTAATGGATAGACTCTATTGACACTGCACCAATGCTGCATGTTTTTTAATATACACTTTATGTGACTCAAGTCACAATGTAAATAAAGCTAAATGCAATGAAGGCAGATATAGTTTTATCATTAAAACTGTCAAATGACATGGTAAGCATTGAACAAGCAAAGGTTTCTTTATATGAAATACAAATAACTAAATATGGAATAAGCAATTTGTACCAGCAATTTGGACAAACACTTTGGTTCATAATATCAAAAGCAAGCTCTGTAACAATATATCCAACATTACATTTAAAACCAGCTAGCTCATACAAGAAAAATATTTCAATCAAAAGACATTGAATTTGAGTTCTCCATTATTCATTAAGAGATATCAAGATCAAAATGAATACAATATAGACTGTAGAGCCTGGTCAAACTGCAAAAATGTCACTTTATACTGGTGACAAGGCTAAAGTCCTTTCAGTTCTAGCAGTGTAAAGTTTAAACAAGACATAGAAACATTTGTTAGTTTTACCTGTTCCACTCTGTGAGCAAAGACAGCATCACAAGAGTTGCAGGACATTTTCTCTGACACTGTTAACTGCAAAGGTACTAGTTCTGGTTCTGTTGCTGGAACATCTTCAACAACTGCGGAAAAAAATCAGCTTAATTTTGGTAAATATACAGAAATAAAGACTCTTGATTTCCTTTTTCTGAGGGAGAAAATCACAGTTATGATTGAGATAAGATAATGTGAAGTTTCTCAACTAATAATTTCAATTGTCTGTGAAACTGAGATTACTTTAGTCAACAAGAATTTTTTGTAATTTATAATAGAAATTTTGATTCATTTTGAAATTAGATCATTATGTCAAAGACACTTATCTATATGTAAAACAAATATCATTACCATTTGTTTAATACTTTATACTGATTTACTACTTAATTAATGTCATAACCTATCTGAGGTTTAAAAAAATGAGTTTATCATTTTTCAAACTGTTCATCCGAGGATTAAAGACAAATTTTAGTCCTTACCTGGATTCACCACATCTTGAACTTTTGATTTCAGGTTTGGATTACAATTTGCCAAGATGATGCCGGACAGTTTGCTTTGGGCCTCTTTGGTGTTGTACAACAAGCATGTTGAATAAGTTTTTGGCTTCACCCTTTGTGACTTCTTTGGTGAATTTGTAGCCATCGTTATCTGTTAAATCTAAAAGTATTATAATATTTCAATGGTTAACTGACAAACTTTTCAATAACATAAGAAAATCAATCTTAAACCAGTTGTCAGTAGTCAGACCAAGTCGCCAAAATATCTAGATTTAACTTGTAATTTGTTTTAGATGATTCCTGTCCAGTTCGATTTTGTGATTCGCAATGTCTGTATGGTTAATCTGAACAGATTGCCACCTGGCTGGTAAAGAATACTGGGTACGAAACCCTAATAATTAGACTAAATTATCTCTACAGTGAGTTGTCTATGATGTAACTGTAAATTATTTCAACTGTTCCATTTTTTCTGTATTTCAGCTATCTAGAATCATAACGTTATTTATCAAAAATATGACAATCGCTATATTCTATAATATTAATCAAATTCTATGCTCACCTTCCTCGTAATGACAAAATGAAATGAAATCGTCAATCATGAAACACACTCAAACAAATTACAATATTGCAAATATTTGCGACATATTTTTACATGGGCGCAGCCATCTTGGGTAATAATAATCATCACACGAATGGTTTTAATTGCATTGTCGTCTCGATAGCTATACATATAAATATCAATGGTAAACTGTTTGTAGTACAGGCTAATAGTTTATCTAGTTAAACCAGGCAATTATATTATTAATAGAGTTTACAGTTAATAAAAAAAAGTTAAAAATAAACAGAAGGCTCTGTGGATGGTTTAAGGCCAGTCCAGCTCGAGATCTGTTTACCTTTGTGTCAATATAATCAGTAGATTTTATATAGATAATATTTGTATATATAGGTTATACAGCGAAACATCGTCAGTTAATAGTGTGGATATTTTGTCAAACTTTCACAGTAAGTTGTTCATATTTTTCTATACACATATGCATTTCACTTTTAAATACACGTACATACGTAATATTGCACAGTATGTTGTACCTTATTGACGCACACATATGCATTTAATCCTATGATAACTTAATTTTGTATTCACAGTAATAACTCGATTTGAAAAAATATTTCATATATACTATATTCTGTTTAACTTTTAACGCACTCAGAATGAATTTTAAGGCTACCATACTTGTGCTCAAGTTTTTTCTTTTTATATGTGAGCCTGTGCTGTTATTAGCTATATGTGTTTTTAAACTAATATAAAAACAACGCTTATATATTCCTCGTTTGTACCAGGAACGTGTATATATTCATTGTACCCACCTGTTTTTTACCAACGAGTTCCATGTTACATTATGTATACAGTAATAGCAATGAATACAGCAATTATAAGACCATTAACATACATCTTCTTTGAAATATATTCAACTTGTACTATGTGCTGTTAAAACGATCGTGTAAAATAAACGATATAATGTGGGACACATATGCACACATAGATTATCTATATTTGTTATAAATTCCCATATTTACAATGTACAAGCTAGGCTTCAATTACATATCGATCCTTTAAACGTGTATTAAACTTGAGGTGAAAATCAAATAAAGATACGTATACAACAGATGAGTAAGATTAAAAAAGGGGGAAAAGTTAATGATATCAATGAATACTTTAATCAAGCGAAGTTGTGCATGTTTTATTTATGCTATGGCTGAATGTAATGCAATCTTCTATATATAGATCTAATATATTGCAATGTGTTCAATCCATATTTCTGTACGGAGTAAAAATCTATGCTATTTTCAGTATAAAACATTTTATAGTTAACAAAGTTAAAAAAAAAATCAAAACACAATCAAGATATTTGTTTAAGTGTTTTGAACGATATCCTAACAATATATGAGCCGTGTCATGACAAAACCAACATAATGGGTTTGCCCAGACTAGCCTGCGCATCCGCGCAGTCTGATCAGGATTCATGCTGTTCGCTTACCAACCCTATTACAAGTAGAGAAACTGATATCGAACAGCATGGATCCTGATCAGACTGCGCGGATACGCAGGCTGACGCATATCCATGTATATTTCAGCTTAGTTAAGTTTAAAATATTACAAAATATGTGTAGTATATATATAAAAGCCAAGAGACTATACATATCTTTTAAACTGAATAAACATCGATCGTCTGCATTGTTTAAAGGCCCACAACAGATATCAAAATCATATAACAGTCATAATCAATTATGTACATCGTTAAATAATTATTTACGCTTACCTATCGATCGTATCAATTATTGATCTATTTGTTCAGTGTGTTGTTTTTACTGTTTGATAGATGGAACAAAAGACTTATGTAACGGGTTTCCATGACGACACAGCGGTGTCAAAGGTGACATACAACCTACTAGGTAACACAGGGATGTCCGTATCAGCTCTTAGTTTAGGTAATAATAATATTATAGCTTCTTATTCAAATATCTATCTTGTACATGTATGTAATATAAGGCATATATACATGTATACATCATAGTTAAACTTATATTCATGAGTCTTAAAATTCAAGTGCCTGTTATGAAACTTCGCTCATTTACGGTATTTTAATTAGAAAGTATTTACTTTAAAACATATCGCCATTGAACACTTCAAAACACCACTTTATTAACTCTTAAACTTATGGTTTTGCCCTTCTTTTAATTCATCCAAAGTATTAGGGATACAAAAAATGAGCTACTGTTGTACTACTAAGCCTTGTCATACTACACGGATGTGCAGATGGTAAAGGTTCTATACTGAGTCCAAAGGCTAACTATTTCCGGGATCCAGCAGGTTAAAATTTAAACATGCAGTACACAATAAAATACCCGATATTCCACGAGGATTGCAGCTATGATTTTAAAAAAACTTTTTTTTTCAATCTAACGTTTAAGGTGCCTCCTCCTTCGGGAGCGTTTTCCGTGATACAGACGATACAGAAAGCTTGCAAGTTCTCGAGCTTGCCGTGCGCAGTGGGATCAACTTGATTGACACTGCACCGTGGTACGGGCACGGGAAATCTGAGACCGTTCTCGGGAAAGGCCTTGCGAATATCCCTCGTTCTAGTTACTACCTGACGACAAAAGTTGGCAGGTATCTACCTGACCCGACGGAAATGTTCGACTTCCGTGCTGAAAGAGTGATCCGAAGCGTTGATGAGAGTTTACAAAGGTTGGGACTAGACTACGTGGATGTTATTCAGGTAGAGTTATATTTTATCTCTATGGCGATAATAGAAACAATTCCTTTAAGGCAGAAATAAAATTTCTCGGAGATTTTCAATACATGCTTTAGTGATGTTGGACGTATTTATATGTGCGTAATATTCTTGCAAGTTTCTAAAGACATATCAAAGAGATTTGACCTAGTTTGGCCACTTAGTAATAAGAAGGGGAGTCTGATTGTTTTACAATAAGTTTCTTTTTGTTTGTAAATTTTTCTAAATTTACATGCTTTAAATGTAGTAACGTAGGCTATAAAACACAATTCTCTATGACCGTATCGCTTATAATACTTGCGTTTTTAGCAAAACGTTTTGAAAATGAATAAATTAACACCTTTAGCTTATCTTTCACAAAATAATGTACATCAGGCGAGGATTTTATTTATTATTTAAAGGTTCATGATATGGAATTTGCCCCCAGTCTAGACATCATCATTAACGAGACTCTGCCAGCACTACAGAAGGTGAAAGACTCCGGGAAAGCAAAGTTCATCGGTATAACCGGATATCCTCTGGAGAATTTCAAGTAAATTAAGAATGTTCTTCATTTTGTTACATATAGATAAGTGTCATTTCCAAATTATCGCACCGTAAATGTTACTTAATGCCTTAACAATGAATGAGTTAAGCATACTTTGCTCATGTCGAAAATCTATCAATCGATCTTGTGCTGTTATAATTCAGAACAACGGAAACATAACATCTATTTCAGGACAGTTTTGTATTATAAATACATCATACTGTTTGTGTTCTTCACATATTCCAGGACTGTACTGTATTACATCTTATTTCTGACAAGTAGCGTATTACACTACATGCCAGTACAACAGTTATTACATCTTGGTGTATAATACAACATTTCGGGACAGTAGTGTATTACACTACTGTTCAAGAAATTAGCGCATTACATCATATTTCAGGAACGTGGTGTATTACAGAATATTTTATGAAAGTATTGTATTACACAATAATTGAAGAAATGCGTGTATTACACCATATTTCAGAAATGTAACGTATTACACCATATTTCAAAAATGTAACGTATTACACCATATTTCAGAAATGTAACATATTACACCATATTACAGATATGTAACATATTACACCATATTTCAGAAATGTAACATATTACACCATATTACAGATATGTAACATATTACACCATATTACAGATATGTAACATATTACACCATATTTCAGAAATGTAACATATTACACCATATTACAGATATGTAACATATTACACCATATTTCAGAAATGCAACGTATTACACCATACTAGTATTCATGTATTAGGAAAGTGCCGTATTTACACCATATTTCAGGAAAACGACGTATTATACAATATTTGAGTTACAGCATATTTCAGGAAGCAGTGAATTACACTGGTCAATGTTAGGAAAGTACATGTATTTGTTTATATATTTCAGGACAGTGCTAACAAGAAGCCAAGTTAAGATAGACACTATATTAACATACTGTAGAGGTTGTATGAACGACAATGCTCTACAAGAATATATGCCATTTTTCAAGGTAAGTTCGTTAAATACATTTTTTAGACAGTAATACATTATACACATTCTACACCAGCTTTTATTTCTGTATTTCGTAAGAAGTAAAAGGGTTTTTAAAGATGAAAAAATACCGTAGCTCTTATGCCATTGTGTGTTTCTTTTGAAAGAAAGTTAAATAATATATAGTCATTAGATATTTCAAAAAACAAACAAAAAGGCTCCAGAGGGGATCGAACCCTCGACCTCCTGTTTACTAGACAGGCGCTCTAACCACTGAGCTATGGAGCCGATGTTTTTCTAATAATGTTATGTTTCTTTTACAAGATATTGCTCTTTACAGAACATAATTTTGGATGATTTGCTGAACTATTGTAATACTAGTCATTTCCTGATTAGGTATTTTGATATATTCATTATATGGCTTTCAAATTATTTATAAATTATCAATAAAAAGGTTCGAATGGTTCGTTTCCCAACCACTGAGATGTGGATCTAAACATTAATATATGCCCCACGTGAATACATGTACATGATTTACATAAAGGAGACCTGCTACTAGTATTTTAAATATATTTTGCTTCTTGTGCTACTTTTTAATGAAACAAATGCCCGGTTATTGCACGTTTTATAGTGAATCATCTGCAGAATGACCAGCGCTCTGTAAAACATTAACATCTTTACAACGGCAGTATCAATTTTTATCAAAGTAAGACATTAGCCTCTCTCAGCAACAACCAACATCTTTGTTTATAAAAGAGTGTTGCATTGTAGAGGCTTTGCTACATTTTGGGCTTTAAACTATTACACAATTATTATCAACGTGTCTTACTAATTACAAAATCAAGAAAATTAACAACAAAAAGGCTCCAGAGGGGATCGAACCCTCGACCTCCTGTTTACTAGACAGGCGCTCTAACCACTGAGCTATGGAGCCATATCTATTTCCTGCTTTTTTAAATAGCGTAATTTTAATAAAGTCATAAGTTATTAAAGTACTTTAAACACGTTTAATAAAAATCATTTTTAAAACAGTAACAATGAACAAAATATATCCCCCGGTTGGATAGATTTCCTATATCTAATACTAGGATAATTTAACCATTATTGCTATGGGGCCGAATGTTTGTAGATTTCTTTTTACTCGGACCTTTTGAGATAGAAGCTCACTTCAAAGTCAATTTTTTGTCACTTTCAAATGGATTACTTCAAAACTTTATTCTTAGTGTTTTATTTATTTGATAAAAAATGTCACAAAAAGGCTCCAGAGGGGATCGAACCCTCGACCTCCTGTTTACTAGACAGGCGCTCTAACCACTGAGCTATGGAGCCATATCTATTAGATCCACTGAACCATTTATTTAAATCATGTGATAATTGTTTTTTTTAATTAAATGTCCATACGCTTTCTCTTCAGAAAAAGTCACCGGTTTTGAGATACAGGCGTTCGGCACATTTGCCATGCCAATAATGGTTAAATTATCAAAAATTGATCACTCCTTGATCATCAGGAACCAAATTGCTTTTAATACCAGACCTTTTTGAATAAATTACAGCTAAACTCATACCAAACAAGACCGCTGTTCAAAGAACCAATTACATATGGACTTACGATGCAAACGCCTTTATGCAACCTATTGCATGAGATTTGGCAAACTGAATCGCATTGTTGCAAAATTTCTATGTAGTTCTGTCCAAAATACATACATGGAACTTTTCAGTCTCAAATCATATCACCAATATACTTGAAATAGTAGGTGTATACAATAACTCATTGTATTAAAGCTGACTTATATAAAAATTGCTTATGCTACTAGTTTAAAGTCAGACCACCTTTTATTTTAAGATCAGACTTTATACTAATTTTTGCCAAATTTCTGGCTAATGGTATTTGAGCCCCTAAAAATACTGGGCGTCTCTAAATACAATGCAGAGCATGCCATTTATATATACAAAATTAGAAACAAACCAAAGTAATGGTTAAAACGGTTTTTTATTGCAGGAACAAGGGGTAGGCGTCATAAATGCTTCCGCAATAAGCATGGGACTACTTTCAAACAGAGGTGCTCCAGCATGGCACCCGGCTCAACAAAATATCAAAGATGTATGCCGAGATGCGGCGACGTATTGCAGGGTATAACTTTATTCGTATTGCATTTATAAACAAAAGAAAGTTATTACATATTTTAAGTTACAGAGGCTCCACTTTGGTACAAACAGGCGTGTCGGGTAGGCCTAAACAGGCGTGCCGCGTGGTTTCGGACGTTAGAGCGGCAACATGCACCTATTTCCTCTACAGGGGTAGGTTTGGGAGTGGTGTTCCATGCCATAGATCTTATCATAGAGTTACATAGACTTTTTTCTACGACTCATAGCATAGACCAGTATAGATTTATAAAATTTTAAAATATTAGATGGAAAATGGCGCTGTTTCCAAAGCTTACTAATGCTTCTATGGGGGCGTGTGTTTGATCATTTAACAACGGAAACACAAATCTCGAAAAAGTGTATTAGACTTTCATTCAAAATTCAACAACAAAAAATCTCAGTAGAATCCCTGTAATTAATGTCATTATTTTTAAGACGGAGTCTAAGCTAATTCTTATTTTAACATACATAACAGAACAGAAACTTATTTCACACTTGTACAAAATACATCGTCATACATAATACAACAAATCAAATATATTTAAATACATGTATAAGTCACATTCCGTAATCATATTCTAGTCAAATGCAAAGCATGTTTTTATTGCTTAATCTATAATTCCGTTAACACAAGTCCTATCATACATAATACAGTCTTATTGTGAGACACAGATCTTATCAAGCACATGAACAATTCTTTACCATTTATTCATTTTCTATTTTACTCAAACAGTAGCACTTTTATTCTTTTCTGTATCATTGTTTATTTGGCTACACGTGGTCAATAAAACACCATTAACTAATTTATGACTCTTACTCATAGATTAAATATCTGCTTTGTTTGATTCATTTACATAATAAACGTGCTTTATAATACATCAAGATCTTGCATTACTTATATATTACTGTCATATTATCTTTAGGAGAATGTTTGACAAATCACTACGAACTAAATGTAAAATAATGAAAAACTTGTAAAAAATGTACAAGTACATATTTAATGATTAGACGTTATATAATTTGTTTGCCTGATTGACAAGGTTCTATGATACCCGATAAATGAAGATGCTTTGAACATCATTTTACATATAAATGTTGCCTTTCTGCTGTAGCCGGTGTCCGGGGGGGTGGGAGGGGGGGGGGTAATTGTACCACTTCGGCGTCAAAGAGAAGATTTAATCAAACCAAGTCTGCAGTATTTTCTATTAATGGCAAGAATGGTTCTCAGATACCCGATGAGTCTTTAAAAGGAAACTATCATTAAAGTAAAAAAATAAATAAAACTAATTTAGCCAAGTGATAGATAAATAAACATGTACATGATTTTGTTTCAGGAGAGAGATGTTGACATTTCTAGACTTGCCTTGAAGTTTACAGTGAGTCAACCAGGTATTGCTACAACACTCGTTAGTACAGCCAGGTAATTACATGTTGATTGGTCAATTGTTATTGCATCTTATTATATGATAACAGGTCAAATTTCAAAGTTTGTATAGATGATATTTACATTCTTTATAATAATATATGTAGGTCGAATGTCAAAGTATTTGCAGTGCAAATGTCTAAATGATGATGATGATAATAATGATAATATAAATAGATATAGGCCTAATTTTTACAATTGTTTAATTTTTTGTTGATGATTTTACTAAAGATAAAGTTTACATTTTCAAATTTATAGTATAGTTACATCTTTATAATAATATATTTTATTAGTCAATGTCAAAGTATTGCAATGCAAATGTCTAAATGACAGAAATGACAGGGGAAAAACATGCCAATGTGAGTTTTTGTCATCATTTATTGTTCATCTTCTGTTCGTCTGTCTGTCTGTTCGTACATGCCCAGTAGACATTTAGGGACAACTTGACATGCTCGTTCCGTACTTATCGCAACTGTGGGGTTGCTTTTGTATACGAAAGGGTTTTGAAAAAATGTGATGTTAAAAATATCAAAGAAAGATTAAAGGAATAGTTGAAGTCTTATGAGAACGTCCGCTCGTCTGCTCGTCTTTTTAAAAGCCTATTATGCCCAAGATTTTTCTTTTTCGCAAAGTCATTTTATTTTGTGTCCTTTTATAGTTTCAAAAATGTTGCTCACTACCGTATTAATTGAAATATATTTCCATATGTTGCCTTTTGGCTATAAATGCAGTTTTGGTGATTAAGTATTTTGTATTGAAGTCAAAATACTTCTTTGCTTCATTTTGCTACTTTAATGGCGCATGGTTCTCACATTCAAAGTTACTTTTTCAGGTAATAAGCATCTTATACGCTCTGTAACCGTTATTTTTTAAACCTATTTAACTCATGTTCGCTCTTTTTATACAATGGATAAATATAATCGTTTCTAAGGGATAATGTGTCTCTAAAGTTTGTTAGAATGGGAGTATGCATAGGAACTCGAGAACGGGACCGCAGATTGCGGCGTATATTTTCGATCGTGTAACGGTTTTTAAAAACGTTTCTGCTACATCTAAATATCTTTTAGTATTATCCGAGTGTATGGACTCAAAAAATATATTATCAATTGAACCCATTCTGTCTCTTTTAAAACTGGTCAAATTTTACGGTATTATAAAAAAAGACAAGGAGTGACATCCGCCATTTGCCGCAACGTTTTCAAGCATATCAAGGGGGATAACGTTCGCCGAACGTTGCGGCAAATGGCGGATGTCACTCCTTTTCTTTTTTCAATATACCGTAAATTTGACTGATTTTTAAATTAGCAGATCATATTAAATTGAGATAAGATAATTAAAGACCACCCGCTCGCATAATATTAAAAGATATTCAAAGGTCGGACAAACTAAATGTAAAGCCGGTACGGATTCGGATTTATGCGCCGCAATATGCGGTCCTGTTCAAGAGTTCCTATGGGAGTATGGGTGGTAACATGTACGAATATAGAGAGAAAACAACACAAACCTTCACGACTCTCTTGTTTATATTTGTATATTTTTATGATCACAAGTTATTTTTTACAGTTTAGAAAATATGCGAAAGAACCTTGATTCTATGGCAACACCGTTATCTACAAAAGAACAGAGCGTTCTAGATGAGGTCATGCAAAAGTAAGTATACATTCTAGATGATGTTACATTGAGTATGATCAACTAATATATGTCAGAGATACATTTGTATCATATTTATTTATCACATCAGACAATTGACAACTATGAACGTAAAGGAAATTACACCTAGCACTTGGTTTCAATTTATGATCACAAGTTATTTTAATACATTTAGAAATATGCGAAAGACCCTTGTTTATGCAACACCGTTATCTACAAAAGAACAGCGACCATGTTCTAGATGCAGGTATGGCAAAAGTTAAGATATACATTCAATGTGATGTTACTTGCAGTATGACAACTAATATGTTAGCAGATATGCAATGTATTGATCACAGCAGACAATTGACAGCTATGAACGTAAAGAAAATTACACCAAGCACTTGTGTTGCATGAATGATAGATACATAAATACATACAGGTGCTCAACTCTTGTGTTGCGAAACATGCCAGTTGCGTTCAACTCTTGTGTTATGAAACATGACTATTGCGCTCAACCCTTGCGTTTCTAAACATGATAGTTGTGCACAACCTTTGTGTTACGATACATGAAAAATGAGCTCAGTCCCTGCGTTGTGATACCTGACATACTTTTTCTATGTGTATAAACTATAAAGTCACAATATATAGCCTTTGCATTTTATATTTATTCGCTTCTGAGGCATTTGCATTTAAGAGGATAAAAACCTGCGTTCCGAAAACAAAATCAACGTATCTGAGTAGTATTAAAATTTATATCTATATTTAGGGCAGGTGATTCAAAGTCAATTGACCAGCTAGTCTCAATAACTCATATTTTAGACTTTTAGACTTCATAACCTCTGATTCCCTTCCAAAATTCCAATTCGTTTAGTTCCACCTATCGTACGCATTCATTTACTTGGGGACCATACGCCACTTTTCATGGCACTAACGTGTCACATTGAAGGTTCCATGATAACCGCCGTATCTGCTGATGTTTCAAATTCCAAATTTTACCATTTCATATTAAATGTTGAATACTGCTTTAAGCTGGTGCAAGAGGGCATGGACGGTAACTTGCACTTTCCATTACTGTTCATGAACAGGCTCAATCAAACCGAACCTGCCGCATTTTCAATTTTGTCGTTTTGTGCGTTCTTTAAGGATTCTTTATTGCTCTCTTTTTCTATATATCAGTTAATCGGTGAACGAACATTTTTTTGTTTCATGCCTGGAAGTAAGGCATACACAGCAGGTTGATTTGTATATTTCAGGCATATGAAACCCCTGAACAACCAACATTGGGAAGGCATTGAAGTAAATAGGTATTGGGAACAGATTAAAGAAGCCAAGAAATCTAACACAGCATGACATACCATGATTTCTATGATGATTTTTTTTTCGCATCTTTTATTTGTTTACGTGGCAGAGGACGAATAATGAAATATAGAAAAACATGCTAGAAAATGTAAACAAAAACTTGGGGAAATATTTGGGTTACTGTTGCCATTGTTATATTAAAAACAAAAACAACAGAATTCTTCCGTTTTTTATTCAGACAATTTCATCAGCATGATTATATCAGAAGCCAAACAATACCAGCCAGTAGTTAATAAGAATAATAAAAGAATAAGTTAACAAACTGTCTTGTTTCCAGATTATTTAGAAGACTTTTAATCAGTTAATATTTAAAAAGTCTTAAATTCAGAAATCAATATTGACAGTTCTTTAAGATGGTAACAATGTGATAGGCAAGGTTTGTACAGTTTGAGTCAATGGTATCCACGATCTTCACTCGCTGATGACTGATATCTAGATGTAGAATAAGTCGTTTTTCCTGACTATGATAGATCAAATTGTGACAATCAGCAACTGATTTAACTATTATTAATACTTACCAGGCTAAAAATCTTTAATAGATTTGTACATTTTTCATTCTCGACAAAACTATACATCATTTCTTGAGAAAATTAAAAAAAAAAGTAACGACTAAATAGTAAACAGTGCAGACCATGATCAGATGGCACAGATGTACCTGGTCTTTGTATGCACTGGTCGCTTTCATACGCTCCTACAGGCTTTAAAGTTTAGTCAAAGTAGAATTCTGCATCCACTTTAATAGCGGTTTTAGATTTGCTTGACAACGTGAACTAAAGCTTCTAGATGAAGTGGATTGGGATACTTTAGAATCCAGACCTCAAAACTATAAGCTACTCTTTCTCTTCAAGATGAGGTCCAACCCTTTCACATTTATATCCACCATAAGTTGATACCGAAAATTATCTCCTCCGTAATCGTGAAGATCTTTGAACACCAAGAGCAAGCACATTGTTGAATTACGACTCATTTCTCCCTGCAACCTTTCATTTTTTCTCCTATATATTCTTCATTATAACCTGCATACTATTCGAATTATTTTGAAGTTTTTACGTGGTCCTTAAAGAATAATTCGAGAATATTTTATCATAATTGTTTCCTAGTAAATAAGTCGGATCTTTATCGGAGTTACATAAGTCCCTGTCGTTCAAACCAAAATTGTCTCCCTTTGTATAATACATATAATTCTGTATAATATATATGAAATCTAGCATGTTTATCAAAATACAAGATTTACGATAATTTTCGACATGTTTATAAATCCGAAGAAAGAAATGGACTATTTTATTGGCGCATGAATAATGAACGTTGTGCGCCTCTTGAGACGCTGACACATTTACTACAGTGACATGTACACGGAACGTTTCCTGCATACAGCTGCCAAACTGAACGCACAACCATCCTGAAAATAATATAAAAGTAAACAAACCTCCAAAGTTGTCCCACAACCGCTATATTGTATAATGGACTCGCACATGTGCTTTGAATTTGGAATAGTCCATTTGTTGACAAGAATCTAAAGATGTGCATGTTCGTTAATCTACATTTGTTTGGCATACGTTTTATTTGTTATTATCGTGAGCAGACTACAAAAATATTCTCACGGTAAAAAAACATCAAAGCATAAAAAACACAAAATACAAATGTACCTATCTTTTGCAATATATAATAGCAAAATGCATTACGGACATTACGAACTATTTAAGTAGAAACTACTAGTATATTACAAAGGTATTAAGTTAGTGCACGTGATAATAAATTTTTACCGATACAAAATTCTAAATTTTTCAAACGCCTTTATTACAGATTCATTTGAAAAAAGCTATGATGTACTGTAAAAAGTAACGTTGAAGGAATTTATAAATAAGATAAGATATAAAATGAGCCGCGTCACGACAAAACCAACATAATGGGTTTGCGACCAGCATGGATCCAGACCAGTCTGCGCATCCGCGCAGTCTGATTAGGATCCATGCTGTTCGCTATCAGTTTCTTTACTTGTTATAGGGTCTGTAAGCGAACAGCATGGATCCTGATCAGACTGCGCGGATGCGCAGGCTGGTCTGGATCCATGCTGGTCGCAAACGCACTATGTTGGTTTTGTCGTGACGCGGCTCAAATAAGACTTATACCCTGATCAGTGCCAGTAGAGATGTCCACATATCAACATTAGGCAGTACCTCTAGCCCCTTCACATCACGCCATACTTTATTAAATGTTATACCAGCCGCAAGGTAAACAAACAGCAACACAAAGAATCTGAGGAAAAATAGTAGTTTTCTTTTAAATTCATTATTAGCCGGTCTTTTACTTTGTATTGATAGTGTGATTATATTGTGATATATAAGAATCTTTTTAACAAAAGTTCGAGTGCAAGTTAAATGAATAACATTTTATCATGCAAGCCTCTAGATAGTGAGCATAAAAGTTTATTCACCCAGTTCAATATATTTAGTAATGAAGCTATACGAACATAATATTCACTAAAATAAGGACAGTCTACTGTTAAAAAGGAATTTTTATTCTCACTGACACGCCAATACTGCTATAGTCTGGTTCCCGTCTGAAGGAAGAGAAAAGGGCAGGTAATCCAGACAAATACTGCTACTACGCTGCTTAGTTTAACTTAACGCGTATGACGTCATCTCAGATTAAATTAACAGTCAAAAATCATCCATTATTCTGGCGTCGTATAGACAGCACAGGTATGACCGTGATAAAATATGTATCAAACAGTTTACAAATGTCTTACATGATTAACAATACAGAACCAGTACTGAGGCCGCCGTCATCTTCAACTATGTCTGGGGCTGTCACAGGACACGCGGCGTTAGATGTCAGTGTCATGTACTAGAAAAAAACCCAAACAAAATTAATATGTACTCATGTAAAATATAAAAAAAATATCTACATTGTATATAAGAATCGCTTATGTCAATTCCTGCTCCATCATTTGTAAATCAAACGAAAGATTTTCCGTTTTATATAAGAGCGAAAAAAATTATGATAAGATTCTGGCCAGTTTCTTCTCTACCAGTATAAATATTTCATAGCTACCTTTTTCTATTCCAATATGTATTTGAATAAGTGAACATTCTAAATTTATTGTTTTTTTCTACTTAGAGAATATAATTATCCTTAATGTGACGAATACGCAACAGTCTTTCATTGCAATGCTGAAGAAAATAGATATGAGCCGCGTCACGACAAAACCAACGTAATGCGTTTGCGACCAGCATGGATCCAGACCAGCCTGCGCTTCCGCGCAGTCTGATCAGGATCCATGCTGTTCGCTTACAAACCCTATAACAAGTAAAGAAAGTGATAGCGAACAGCATGGATCCTGATCAGACTGCGCGGATGCGCAGGCTGGTCTGGATCTATGCTGGTCGCAAACCCATTATGTTTTGGTTTTGTCGTGACGCGGCTCATATAATTCGTACGTATTGTCCAGCAACTGTTTCACCAATAACGTCTAGAGAAGGTTTTGTGGCTGACGGATTACAAACCAGTGTAACAAAAGTATTTCTACAAGAAGAGAAAGAAAATGTCGCATCAATTACTAACGTAATAATTATATTCAGTATTTTAAACCCGTTATGTTATAACTAAAAGACCAAGAACAGCCATGAGTAAAAAATAAGCCTAGACAAGAAAGCGGTGTTCAAATGATGTCTATGGGGCTTTATATTGCATATTTTTTCAAATTCGATTGTAGAACAAGTTCTTGTTATTTCTAAAAACACTTTTAGGCCCACCTCCTGGAAATAACCAGTTCTGATATCAAGGTTACAATACTTTGTCTTAAATCTCTGGATTTACATTGGTCAGTGTACATTTTGTGTCAGTTTCTGACCAATCAAATACCTGAGATTTGACCGAGCTGAGAAATTTCTTACTAACCTAGGACTCTGACGTCATAATAGCTGCAATATTTGTACTAAATGGCAATTACAGTTAATTAAATGGCAATTCGGAGAGATAAAATAGCAATTCTATTTTACTGCAATTTTAAACTTTAAACAACTATTCCGAGAGATTTTATTGACAAAACAAATATGTAAACCGTTTGCCATCTTTACTCTGATACTGGACTACAACTGAAATCCCGTTGTAATTGAAAGAAACTTTGTCGGCTACCCCTGCATCAATAAAAATGTAGTTAAGTGGGTCAAATTTGCATACCTACAAAACAGAAATAGGTCAAATTATTTAAGCCTAAAATATGATTAAATTATTAAATTAAAAAAGTTAAATAAAGTAAATTACATTTTCGATAAATTCAAGTACATAAAGCTATGTATTTGCTTCTTGTGGATTGTAAAATAATTGTGTATATTGTGATTACAATGTATACAGAATACCTAGAATGGAAAAACATTGTCGGGATATTTTATTGAAAAGCTAGAGGTACATGTCTGTAAACATCGTCATACCTACTAGAAATAGCAGCAGAATATTTGGTTCAAGAACATATTTTCCTTCTGTTTACGTACACTATTCATATTTTTTCAAGTTACATAGACATTCAATGTTAAAAAATATTTCATGAAACAACCATAAAGTTATTAAAACAATATAATTTTACTATTTTTAAATTTTCATAAAAATATTTCATCAGATATAGCTTTACAGAATTTAGAGTTTAGAAAATGTATTTGGTCTGTTGTTGGGACAACACTCACGGCAACATTCAAACACGAAACTTCGCTGAAAGACCCACATGGGTTGAATGAGTACCAGTTAGAATCAGAGGTTGACACATGGTCCAAAAACCTATTAATATAAAAATAAGAATTAAACATAATATCATTTTTGTTAAGTTTTGATGATGTTAACAATCTATATGTAGTTCAAAACAAAATTCAGTCATGGACCTGAACACAAATCTAAGAAGAAGAAGAAAGAAGAAAGAAGAACAATAACAAGCTTTTTACAGATAAGCCAAATATTTCTTTTCTCCGAATTATTTTCATTTTGTTTTCTTCATTGATGACGTCTAACAAATGACTAATATCTGCTAATTACTTACGTGGCAGTGCCGTCTTTACGACCAATGGTACTTAGATCTATCATTCCACTTCCATCATCAAATATACAAGCACAGTTATTATATTTTACACATTGTTTACAACTAACGAATGTTTGTCCGTAAATAAGGAAAACTATCATATAGATTGAGATTACGCTCTCCATTTTTAGGTTTATTTTATGAGTTCCACAATTAAAGAGATCTTTAGTTGAGGAGTAATAAAGTATAAAATCCGCTTTTTAACATAATAATACTGTCTGTATCATTATTTATACATTGCTATTATACATAACGTGTGAAATAAAAAAATCGCACGTGATTCATACATTATTTCCATGGGATAAAGGCATTAATTAATACCTCTATATTACGAAGCATTACTGTTGTTGAGAATATAGGCATGTCAGTACATAATTGTCTTTATATATCACGTGATTGAAATTCAGGCACGTATAATTTGTATATTCATGTTGATGCATATAAAATGTATAGATATACAATATCATAAATTTATTATCTTATAATCAACTATATTACACTGTACGTTTGTAACACCGATTTTCATTGGATACTCGTGACGTTTACATCATCTATATACACGACTGCTGTAAAACATATAAAATTAATGCTGCTTTGGTTAAACAAGCTTTCAATCGTATATAGTGGGCCAAATAACCTTCCAGAATTCTATAATCTATTACACATATCTATATGCACGTTATATATTTATACAGTCATGTATACCCAAATGTGACCACTCATAAATTTATCCTTCCTTCACGTGATTTTGAATATCAGATGATATCACTGATTGTTGATACCTTTATAGGTTAAACAATAATTGTTACACTGTGAACTAAGATTTGACGTTTAATTGTAAGAAATCAACTTTACAAAATAACGATTATTTTTTTAAATGAAAAACAATGTAACAACACAGTGTGAAATTATAATGCATATACTATCTTCGCTTAAGACCACTAGAAAAGTAGATAACATAATAAGTTTACATACAGGGTAGTTGTTATATTCTAAAGACAAGAAAACAACTTTCTGAAAATAATTAGTCAACATTCCGCCAGAGAGGTAACTCGATTATTATCGCATTATAAGGAGCTTTCTATACTAACATACAACAACTGATCTACAGCATTATAGAGCTTGGGCAGTCAGCACTTGTGTGCCGCCTGGCATTTGTGTTCAAGTTGGGCAAGCTCTATACTGGCAGCAAAGGGTAATTACTCTCGTTTTCTGTAATTTTTCAAAAATATTTGATTGTAATGACATTATTATGTATTTCACATATATAAGTCATGAGGGAAGTTCTTACTATAATGATAGAGACGATAAAAACGGTATCAATGAAATGTTTAGTCATTTTGAACAAATTACATATGAATACCCGGACACCATGTTATTTTTGTCAGGTGACCTTAATAGTCGATGTAAACATTTTTTTAGACTTTATCCCATGTGATAATTTAAATTTTATTTTTGGTAATACTGACTATAATGGTAGTACTTTTGATATTGTACGTCATAGTATAAGAAAAAGAACGAAAATTTATAGACACTATTGCATCTGGTAATCAAATTGTTACTTTTGAACAATCAGTGCCATACAATAAATACGGAAATGATGAATATAATTGCAAAGTACTAAATAATGTTACGCCCCATAAATCAAATTTTCCTGATAATAAATTGTTCAATTCTAAGTTTGAAAAACGAGGTTTACATATTGCACACCTTAACGTTAATCACTTAATGCCTAAAATAGACGAAATAACATACAATCTATTAAACAAAATAAATTCGCCAGATATTTTCGGGTTTACTGAGACATTTTTTGGTGATGATACAACAGACGATGAATTAAATATTAACAATTTCACACACGAAAGAAAGGACCGTAAAAGTTGTAACAAAGGCGGGGGAGTTGTAATATATATTGCTGACAAGGTGCCATATCGGCGCCGTTACGATATAGAAACGGACGAATTAGAATCTGTTTGGTTGGAAATTATTTACCCAAATTGCAAACCTTTTCTTTTAAATTTTATATATCGCCCACCAAATGTACACCAATCTTGGATTGACGATTATGAAAAAAAAACTAAGTATAATAGATATATCAAATATAGAATATCATATTCTAGGAGATGTCAATATAAACTTTTATCCAATGAATAAAAAGAAAAAATATGACAATACAAAATGGGGTGATTTGATAACGAAATATGGTTTGAAACAACTTATCACAGATCCTACTAGGATAACAAAACGTACCCAAAAAATTATAGATCATGTTTATACAAACAGTAGCAGATATATTATTGAATCGTTTGTTTCTGATACCTCATTAAGTGATCATTATCCGATAGGTATTTCAAGATCAACGAAAGCATGTACCCGATTGAATGAACATAATTCGATTAAATATAGATGTTTTAAAAACTTCAATGAAATTGATTTTCAGATAGACCTTGCTTTATCCGATCTTGAATTAGTCGAGCACATAATTGATCCGAATGAATCCCTTAGCTTATTTTACTCCATTTTAAATACTATCTTGAAAAAGCATGCACCAATAAAAGAAAAACGTATCAAACGTGAACACCGCCCGGAATGGTTTACTGATGAGATAAAATATCTTATACATGAACGCGATTACTATCATAAAGTAGGGAAACATGAACAATACAAATTGCTCAGAAATAAAATAACATCAATGATTAAAAAAAGTAAAAGAGATTTCTTTAACAATGCTATTAAAAATAACAAAGACCCGGCATTTTTATGGAAAAATTTAAAGGACGTTTCAAATCTAAATAAAAAAGGTTGTATTACAATGACAGGTAATAAAGAAATTTACGGAACTGTAAATATTATAAATGAATTTAACAAGTATTTTGTCAATATCTCGAATGTCATACATAAAACAAAGTTTTCAAATACAAATTTTTTCAAAATTAAAAGAAACTTTAGACCAAAAGCTAATGTATCATGAATTTAATATTGAATTAATTACACCGTTTGAAGTAAAACTTAATATTGAAAAACTGAATATTAAAAAATCTACAGGATTAGATGGAATTGGACCAAACATCATCAAATATTGTGGAGATTATATTACACCAATAATTGCATCAATTATCATAATAGTATTAAATCTAATATTTTCCCAGATGATTTAAAAAGAGCTCGAGTTATACCTATTTTTTAAATCGGGGATAAGAATGAAGCAAATAACTATCGACCGATATCAATTTTGTCAACTATTTCCAAAATATTTGAGCGCCATATTGCCAAACAAATACACTCATTCTTTGAAAAAACGAACATAATTCATAATAAACAATCAGGATTTCGTAAAAATCATTCATGTAATACTGCACTCATTAGTTTAATAGATACTTGGTTAAAAGATGTTGACAGTGGAAAAATTATCGGGACTGTATTCTTAGACTTAAAGAAAGCCTTTGATTTGGTTGACCATGAAATACTTTTGCATAAACTTAAACTTTATCATTTTTCTGAAAATGCCGTTAAGTTTTTTAAGTCATATCTTTCTAATAGAATACAACTGGTTAAGATAGGTAATCTTCAATCTCAGCCAATGAAAATAATTTCCGGTGTTCCACTTTCATAGGTAATGATATAAAAATTGATTTATACGCAGATGATTCTACTCTTTATGAGTCCGGAGAAAATATATCAAAAGTAGAAATAAAACTTCAAGATCATTTAAATAACATTGACAAATGGTGCAAAATAAATAATATGGCCTTAAATCCAGATAAATCAAAATGTATGGTAATAGGAACAAGACAAAAAGTAAATATTACGAGAAAATTAATTCTTAAGATAAATGAAATAGCTCTTGAAAATGTAACTGATCAAAAAGTCTTGGGTATTTGCATAGATAACAACTTAAAATGGCACTTGCAAATTGACAATGTTTGTAAAAAACTTAACGGAAAAATTGCCTTATTGAAAAAAATATCATATTTTTTGCACTTTGATATGAAATTATTGTTTTACAATGCATATATATTGCCCATTATGGACTATTGTTGTATTATATGGGGTAAAGGAAACACAAACTACATAAATAATGTTTGTAAGTTACAAAAACGAATTGCTAAAATCATTTTACAGCAACCTAAAAGATCTCCGTCAATAAATCTATTCGAAACTCTTAATTGGTTACCGTTCCTTGACAGATGTAAATACCACACGGCGGTGCTTGTTTTTAAAACTTTAAATAACATGGCACCGACTTATATGACAGAACTGATGACTTTATCCGACAACAAAATATATAACTTAAGATCTAGGTCACGAAAAGATATTGTATTATGGACAAGACCTAAAACAAATTATATTAAAGACACATTTTCTTATTATGGCATGAACATTTGGAACAATATACCTTTAAATATTCGTAATGTTAATAACCTTAAATGTTTTAAAGAAAAATACAAAGCATATCTTGATGTTCATATGAGTGAATGAATGAGTGAATGAATGAATGAATAAATATATGAACGAACGAACGAATGATGCAATATACGTATATGTTTAAACAAATTGTTGAGTGTCTGTCGAAAGTATATGAGTTGTATTATTTTAAAAATTACATATTATACATTCATTTTTCTACCTATGCATATCCTGTTGTTGTTGTTGTTGTTGTTGTTTTCTATTTCAGAAGGCCACATTGGAAATAAGATATATATGATTGTTATTGTATGTTCTTAATGTGTAACCTTCTTTAAATAAAGATATTATTATTATTATTATTATTATTATAGTAAGGATAATATACGTGGCAATAATTATGGTAAATGTTTAGTAAACTTATGCTGTATTTTTGATATTCATATACTTAATGGTCGTTTTCCAAGCGATAAAAACGGTGAATTTACTTGCTTCTCAAATGATGGATCGAGTGTTGTTGATTTTATGATCGCATCTTCTTCTCTATTTTCATACATTAAAGATTTTGAGGTTCTTACTAGAGATGAATCTGATCATTTTCCTATATGTTGTACTTTTGTGTTTCATAAAAAGTCTAATAACGCAGATAGCCAAACTGCTCAAATATCATTGAACACTTTTGATAGATATAAATGGCGTGTGTCTGCAGGTACAGATTTCTTGCAAAAATTTAGGGAATTGTTTCATAACCACTACACGATGATAATGGAATCAATTGATAACTCTGTCAATTCTACGGTCGACTGTATTACTTCTATTTATAAAGATGCTGGAAAATGCATGCTTAAGAAATTTTGTTTTCATTCGTCTCAACCTCCGTGGTGGGATAACACATGTAATGAGTTAAAAGCAAACAAATACGCGGCGCTACGCACATTTAGATTAAGTAATTCCTCGTCTGACTTACGAATATATAAAGATAAACGAAATAGGTTTAAAGACTATTGTAATGTACGAATATCTGAATATCAGAAATCTAATCGATTAGAACTAGTATCAAACAGTAACAACCCAAGTTCTTTTTGGAAATTATTGAAGAAAGGCAAAACTGTTACTATGTCTGATCCTAGTATTTCTTGTACAGAATGGTTCAATTATTTTAGAGATTTGTTGTATGACGAAAATTCAGTGTTTGTTGATCCTTATGTTGGAAACGAACATGATTCCGCCGATGAAACAGCTCAGACATTAAATGAACCATTCACTTTGCTAGAAATTAAACATTCTATATCTAAATTAGTTAATAATAAAAGTTGTGGCCCAGATGGCATACCTTCCGAATTTTATAAACATACATCAGATGAAATAGCGCCTATTCTGCATACACTATTTAACAAAATACTCGAAACAGGGCAATTTCCAATATCTTGGAGAAATAGCATGATTACACCAATTCATAAATCAGGGCCAAGTAATAATCCTGGTAATTATCGCGGCATATCTATTACAAATACATTATATAAAGTCTTTACAGGTATTATAAATAAAAGATTATACGATTGGGCCGAAAATCAAAGAAAAATCGATGAATCTCAGGCAGGATTTAGGCGTGGTTACTCGGCTATCGATAATGTTTTTTGTCTACAAGCAATGGTTCAAAAATATCTTTCTAAAAAGGGTGGCCGCTTTTACTGTCTCTATGTTGATTTCCGTAAAGCATTTGATAAAGTGAATCATTCTAAACTTTTCTTGTCACTTGAAAAGAAGGGCGTTTTTGGAAATTTTCTTCGAGTTCTGAAATCAATGTATTTTCATCTCTCTTCATGTGTTAAAACAACTGATTTGTTTAACAATGTTATGATTACTGAATTATTTCCCTGTAACATTGGTACAAGGCAAGGTGATAAGACAAGTTCGACAATTTTTACATTATTTATAGACGAGTTATCTTCCCTTTTAAGAGAGAAATGTGGCACAGGCATTTTCATTACAAATGATATTCCTGATATTCTTTGTTTAATGTTTGCAGATGATGTTGCAAATTGTGCTGAAACTGCTACAAAATTACAAAACAACTTAATGTAATTGATCAATTTTGCCTGAACACAGGCATGGAAATGAATCTTGACAAAACAGAGATAATTGTATTTCGAAATGGAGGTCGTCTTCGTAATTATGAATCTTGGTCTTTTCGCGGTCAGCCTGTAAATACAACTGCTGTTTATAAATATATGGGTTTGTTATTCACTCCACAACTATCATGGAATGTAGCTCATGATAAACTAGCTTCACAAGCTCAAAGAGCAATTTTTGCTATCAAAGGTTATGAAAAACCATTTGGTAATTTTCCCATAAAGGAACACTTTAAAATTTTTGATACAATGATCAAACCTATTCTTTGTTATGGATCACAGATTTGGGGGTATGAATTTAGTCCAACTATAGAATCTGTTCATAATATGTTCTGTAAGGGTTTATTAAATGTTCGAAAAAATACAAACACAAGCATGGTGTTAGGTGAATGTGGTAGACTCCCACTTTGTATTACTTATTATACAAATTGCATCCGTTATTGGTGTAAGCTATTAGTTATGCCACTATACCGTTACCCAAAACAATGTTATTTAGTGTTAAAATCACTAGATGAAGCTGGAAGAACTTGTTGGGCTAGCAAAATACGAATACTTTTATACAGTTACGGATTTGGTTACATTTGGATTTCTCAAGAAATAGGAGATGTGAATATTTTTGTAAGCATTTTTAAACAACGCATAATACATTGTTATACTCAAAATTGGCATGATAATATTAGCAATGCCAGTAGATGTCACCATTATTGTTATTTTAAAAGCTTATTAAATGTAGAACGGTATCTTCTAATAGAAATCCCTGTAAAACATAAGAAAGCATATGCTAAATTTCGATGTTCAAATCACAAACTTAATGTTGAAATCGGTAGGCATTTAAATATACCTTTTCAAGAACGCTTTTGCAACTTTTGTCTTGAAAATCATTTAACTTATCATATTGACTGTGAATATCATGCTTTTTTTCATTGTAAAAAATATTTAGAAATTAGAAATACCTATTTACTAAACTGGTATAATTCCGGAAATGAATTACATAACTTTTATGAATTACTCTCATCAAATGATATTTTTATAATTAAGAAAATCTCTACTTATATTTACCACCTCATGATATCTATAACACAGTAGCATTTAAATGTAATGATTGTCAAAACTTGTAAAAGACACAACCTTATAATGTTAAATATCATATTTTGTATGACATGTATTTTGGGCCGGTGGCCTTTATTTACTGAATAAATCTTTTGACTTGACTTGACTTTTGACTTATGTAAAGCATAGACATTTATATTTAATCAATCACTTGAAACCATAACAAAAACCAAAAAGTATACGTACATATATTGTATCATACATTATATATGAATCATTTATAATACAGTTAATGACGATAATATACTCATTCATTAAAGACATCCTTGAACGATGAATATCATATCATGTCAGCGCAACTTTTATTTATAGAATAAACAATTATCACAGATATGTAGACACGGTATACACAGACATGGATTATGAGAAACGATCCATATGGTCTTAAAATGTACCTCAGATATGTAGACACGGCATACACGTTCATGGATTATGAGAAATGATCCATATGGTCTTAAATGAAACACAGATATGTAGACACGGCATACACCCATGGAGTATGAGAAACGATCCATATGGTCTTAAAATGTAACACAGATATGTAGACTCGGCATACAAACAAATGGATTATGAGAAACGATCCATATGGTCTAAAATGTAACACAGATAAGTAGACACGGCATACACACACATGGATTATGAGAAACGATCCATATGGTCTTAAAATGTAACTCAGATATGTAGACTCGGCATACACGTTCATGGATTATGAGATATGATCCATATGATCTTAAATGAAACACAGATATGTAGACTCGGCATACAAACAAATGGATTATGAGAAACGATCCATATGGTCTAAAAATGTGACACAGATAAGTAGACACGGCATACACACACATGGATTATGAGAAACGATCCATATGGTCTTGAAATGTAACTAAGGGATTGCAACAAAGAGCACTGTAGAAAATGTATTCCCTGAAACCTCCAGCATACAAACAGATCCACCAAGCACGTCAGACAGGTTCATATGTTACACGGCCTTTACATACTTTACTCAGTACAAATCTGGTGCCATCCTTAAAACAGACAAAAATCGTTATGGTAAAATACAGAAAAAAAATGTGTTTATAAATGATATAATTTATATATAACTATATAAGGATATTACGTTAAATTAGTTTAAACATATCTATCCCAGAACATAAACAGTACATGCATTCAACTACGTGTACTATGGAATTAACTTTAAACGTAATATGTCAAATCTTATATTGTTCCTTGTGGAGAAGATTTTATTTTTATGTACATGCTTTTCATCATTACATGCGTTACGAATTTATGAAAATAGTCAAGAACATAGTTCAAAGAAAGAAGAACGTAAAAATAAATAAAGCTACACATGTCTTTTTTCTCTCAAAAAGTTTATCAGTACTAGATTTACCCTCTAATTTACTACAATTAATACAGATATTTTATTAACTAATCTGTGGAATTTGTGTATAAGATAACCCAGCACATTGATTTTAAGGGATTTCAAAAACCAAACCAAAACAGGAGCTACCGGATCTACAACATATTTCACTTTTTTTGCAAATACGACTCAAATCATATTAAAAACAATTTAATCATTCTTTTTCTGAAATCAAACAATTGACACATTTCTGATACGCAGAAGTGTGATTTTTTTAGTATTTACACAATGAAAAAATGAATGATTTAATTTCTACCTTAATTAAGCCAGGTAACGTTGCCCAGAATCCTAAATTTGGAACCAGTTCTTTCCCATTTGCACCTCTTTTGAATTTGTTAAAAGCTACCCCAGCAGCTATATAAACTGCCAGCAATACGAAAAATCTGTAAAAATGTACATGTATATAAATTACCGTTCAGTTATAAAACTGTTTAACGTCTTTTTTCATGTAAAACATTTTTTTTTTAAATTATGTTTTCACACAATGCGCAGACTACTTTCCATCAGGGTATTTCTATTTTCCATTTTATTATTTTGTGCGAGAACTCATTTCGGAACACCAGATACATGTACATGTATATTTTCAATCTCACAAGTGTTAAAACTGACTTCGAAAAGTTAGTTTTAAATAAAGGGTAAAATCTTTATTAGAATATTTATGATCCAGAAATTTTTGGAATTTACACTGTTGGCAGCCTCTGTAGTCAAGGGAAGCAAACTCGTATCGACTTAAACGTTTTTCCTATATCGCATAATATTAAGTATTATAAGTCTTTACTACATCATGTATCACGAAATTTTATTTTTATTTGATGCGGATTTTAACTTTGCTAAAAATGCAACATATAAAAGTGCAACAACGTGAAATACATTTACATGATCAAAAGTACGGAACCACCGCTCAATCCAGAACTACTTGATAATGACGGAAATGGTGATGGTACAGGACATGCCGCCGCTGCTGTTAATGTCATATACTGTAAAACAAACGTATATATGTAAGCTATATTTATAATGCATATAAGATATCGTAAAATAACAAAAAATTAAAACAGCATGCCTCCAGATTCATGCTAATTTTCATGATTTTTTTAAAAATGTATTTAAAAGAACATTTATTTGAAACAAACAAAGAAAATAGTTTACACATCGCAAACACCTCTTGCAATCCACGTAAAATATCAAAAAGAGGTAAAATTAAACGAGAATTATCAATAGCCATTACTACGTTAGTAACGCAGTAGAAATATGGGGTCAGATAATGCAAAATCAGTCATTCATTGCAAACAAAATATAAATTATTACCTGAACCTGTAATCTTTCAATCTTTTTTACTTTTCTAAAAAATCTTAAATTTTCTTGAAAAACGTTTGCTCATCTGGAGGCATGTAGCTTTAGAGTACATTTTGACGATGAAAAAAATATATGAGCCGTGTCATGACAAAACCAACATAATGGGTTTGCGACCAGCATGGATCCAGACCAGCCTGCGCATCCGCGCAGTCTGACCAGGATCCATGCTGTTCGCTTACAAACCCTATTACAAGTAGAGAAACTGATAGCGAACAGCATGGATCCTGATCAGACTGCGCGGATGCGCAGGCTGGTCTGGATCCATGTTGGTCGCAAACCCATTATGTTGGTTTTGTCGTGACACGGCTCAGATTATATGCTTTATAACTTATTAAGTACCAGGAAGCTGCCTCTCTAGCCTGAGATCACGATTCATTATCATGACATTCATAGAGAACAAAAGTGGTTACATTCAACAATGTTACAGATACAGTAAGATAAAATTATACGTACATACTTAGTGGTCTCAAGTTCCCCAGTCACATCAAGACCTGGGCTCGTTGCTCCAGGGTCACATAGTAAAGTGACAAAACTATTTCTGAAATCGATTGATTGCAGTTGTTTATACCTTAACTCGAAATTGATTTCAGATTACAGTTTAATTATTTAACTATACCACGTGACATTTTGTCCATAGCTATTTTCAATCGGGTATACCAATCAAGCAAGTAACATATTCATGTTAAAATTAGTATTTTTTACGGAAAATGAAACTGAGTGTTTGAACAATGTGACCCTCACAAGAATGCACGGGCTCTACACTTGAACATAGGACAGTCTAAACTAAAAACTGTCGTTAAATGACCATCGATATCCGGTCTCATCAACCAGAGTTAATTTAAGTAATTTTCCCGGCTGCATTGAGCAAAAACATTAAGAGGCATTTAAGCTGATTTAACGAAATTCGTTCATATTTTGATAAAATGATTTTAAAGAAATCCTGAATCAAACTTTCATTTTGGGTTAAGAGGTGCAGAAAAAAATTAAACCACATTAGCAATCTTACCAACGAAACACGGTGCAATGACATTCACACCAAGATTGATAACTTTGCCGTTAGACATTCAGGTACCCTTGCACAATATATCCAACAAATTATGGTAAGTAATGAGATTCCAGATTTACATTAACACCCATTACCCCTGCGTTGTTTCTTGAGCAATGACATTCAGACAAAACTTAACACATCATACCAATATTGAAGTTTGACTTTCATTACTTAAACCATCTTTACTACAATTTATTCTTAAGCAATGACATTCAGACAAAAAGAAAGACAAATCTTACTGATATTTTAAAGTATGACATTCATTACCATCTATTCACAATTCTACAAATTATGTAATGACATTCCAGGCTTACCTTACTCCATCTGCGCTGCTGTATTGAGCAATGACATTTAGACCATCATAGTTGAACGAAACTTTGTCTGGTACTCCAATATCATACCCAATAAATTGATAAGGACTATACTGGCATGCCTGTAATGAACACCACAAACTTGCTTTTTTTATTAATATTTATGTAAGTTTTAAACGTCATTTTAATTTACAATGAAACCTTTTTCTGTAAGGCCTCATCAAATAAACTTCTGAGCACCTAAATAGCGGTGTTTCAATAATGTTGGTACCTTTACGCTTGGTCGTCGGCATAGTGATCAAGTATATATGCTCTTACACTCCAGACTACAGCACTTTAATCCTCGTCAACGTAGATCTTAAATAATAAATATCTCATTGGAAAGGAGGACGATTTTCAGTTGCAGAAGACTGATCTTTTTCAACCTTTTTCTGACCTTGGATATTTTTACTGACTTCCACTAACTTGTTTTTAATCCCCCAGAGTCTATACTTTGTGCAATGTAAGGGAACATTCTAGTTGCCACGCAGATGATCTGAGTTTCTGCACAGCTGTATTGTTGGACCAGTAAAGATGAAAAGGCACGAACTGACGTTCACAGTGTTTGCTTTTTAAGAACTTGCCATAAGCTATGCAACGTCATTTTTGTGATGAACTATAATTATATTCAACAGTGTTGCTTACACAGCTTTATCCTAATAAATACGACAATTTCAGCAAAGTTTTATGGTTGTTTTGGAAAATACTCGTATATGACAAGGCTTTATATATCAAGCACCAAACATAAGGTTCAAATATTTATTCAGTTTTACAATTTTACAGTATTATTAAATAATAAGTAATTTATATACTTACAGCCACACCTATACAGCTAACTTCGTCAAAAGATCCACATGGATTATATGAATATTGAAAGTCATCTGTACTACTAGGTATGTCCAGAAAACTGCAAAATTAATGTACCATTAAAGAGACCCGTCTCCAGATGAGTGATAATTTAACGTAAAAAACAAACTTATGTAGTATATACTTTTTTTTAAGACGTGTATAAATATTCACAAAAGCATGTAACGCTCTTATTGCAACTTGGTTAGTGTGTGTTATTTCCTTTAACTAGATAAAACTCTATAACCAGTTCACACTTTTTTTAACTTTCTAGTATCAGTTAATAAGTTAGCAAGGAATATCTGACATTTATTTTAAAGACATGATACTAAGTAGTCTCTTACAATTATATTTTAGAATGGCTAGCTATGTACAATGTATATTTATAAATTCCACGCATTGATGGTATGGATTGTAAGACAGAATAAGAGATTAAACTAAACTTAACCCCTTCATTATTTTTATTCACTTGTTTTTTTTTTTAAATATTTTAGTTTGATTGTGTAGGAAGTTATAAGCTCACAGACACACTTTCGAGCCAAACAATGCTGAACAATGAGTGAAAAGTTTCTTGCTCAACAAAATAACAACTTGCCCGTGACGGGGTTTGAACTCATGTGACTAGTGATCATTAGATAACTTGTCCGACGCGTTAACCACTCGGCCATGCCACCACAAGTTCACTTTTGTGTTCACCGGATTATAGCTATTAAATAAGCTTTCTTAGTTTTCATGAAAACTTGAATCATGAAAATACTGCTTTAAACCAGCAGTCCACGGAGTTGTACACAGCTTACACAGTTTTTCACCGATTTTAGTTTATTTAACCTTTTCAGCTTTCTTAAAGATTATCGACATTTTTTCCATAACGTTTAACCGCTGAATTATGTACAAATGAGGATTGAACTTACTATGGTGTTCCGTCTGTGCGACCAATAGATGACAGATCTATCATCCCGCTGTCATCGTCAAACACACATATACAATTATCATGTTTCACACACTGTTTACCTAGTGTTATGTCAAACCGGCATAACAAAATCATAAAAAGTAAACCTGAGATTATTATATCCATTCTTACAGAGAGAATCACTGAATCTATCCAACATGTACATTTGAAAAATAAATCATATTTATCAGGTTTATTAGGTAAAACGGCACATTGTTGAAATATCTATAATGTTATCTGTTGAATTGAAGATAAAATGATGATTGTGATATGGTGTTTGGTTGGCTACCGTAATAACAGTTACGTAAACGTGACATTTATCAAGATAAATACAGTATTTATTAATACTATAGCGCGTGACTGATTTGAGAACAATTAATATAAATAATAATGATGATTGTAATAATGATGGTGATAATGTTTATGATGATGGTGATCATTATTTTGATGAGTATTATTATCATGATGATGATGATGATGTTAATGATAATATTAGTAATAATAATAAAAGATAACAATACCAACTTTCCATATTCATAATCAACATCATCATATAAACATCGAATAATAATAATAATAATAATAATAATAATAATAATAATAATAATAATAAGAGGGTTATTTAAAGATAATATTTCAAAAAGTCAAGACTTAGTATTCTTTACCGTTTACATTTAATTACCTATATAAAATTATAAAGTGTATGTGTATTTACTTTCGCCCCAATGGAAACACAATAGAATACGTATACATGTACGTCGTAAAAGCAAGAATAAAATCCAAAAGAAACAATCGTGCGTTTCTGCGTTAATATGATTTCAAACAAGTGATCTAGTTTCCATAATGAACATAATTCTACTTAAGCAAAAAATATGCTATTTCCGGATTTCAAGTGTTCATTAAGGACTTATGTCCGCCTAAGTTATGTTTTGATATATAGGATACATATTTAAAAGAAAATTAATATCAGTTCGTTTTTGTTTTACACACTAGTAACTTTATAATTTATCAAAACGCAATCTCGGAGTTATTCAAAAACTGTAAATTTCTATTTAAGAACAAGTTGACATTTAGCCAGAATGTTTTCATGCAAGATTTGTACTTGGATTTATCCCTCTGTGTTGATATTTTTATCGGTAATTGCTGTTATACATTGTGCGGATTTAAATGAAATCGAGGATGATATATTCAAAATAGAAGATGATCAGGCAGCTATAAGAAAACGCATTTCTGAGCTACAGAATTTGGTTATAGACGAAATACAAGAAACGACAGACATTGAAAGCACACGTGGCAAGGAAGACGACGATGTAACGATAATAGAACCAGAAGACCCCACTGCGTCAGATCCAAAGATAACAGAGTTTGTTAAAAGACTGGATAACGTGGAAAAGAATATTGAGGCTATTCAAAGCTATGTCGACGGTGAGAGAGAAACGGACACTTTTTTGAACGGGCTTCGAGGGGATATTGGCCAAGCTTTTGATAATGACATGCTTCAAGTGAAAAACCTTGCAGGAGGCATGAGGAAAGAGCTTAAAGAGTCACTTGAAAAAGCTGGTCATGATCTTAAAGCTGTTGAGGATTTTGCTAATTCTAGAAATGTTATAATCGGTGGCGTTCTGTATTATGACGGCATAGGTTCTGCATGTGGTGAGTCATTCGATGTATGTAGGGTAGAAAACAGTGAATGTAGGGACGGAAAATGCCAATGTAAAATGGGAATGAGCCATGACAGCTTGCAAGAAAAGTGCGTTGACGCATGCGCCGATGGATACGGAAATACGTATCAAACTGTACACAACTACATTATTCGCGGCCACAATACAGTTACTGTGAACGAAACCAGTTTAGAAGATTGTAAGGAGCAGTGCGAAACAGCAGACAACTTTGAATGTCGGTCTATTGACTACTTCCCGCGCTGGGAGGCGTGTTACCTATCTGATGTTGTGAAAGGTGATATCGACAACGAGGCTTGGGAGTATAACTCCGCCGGTATCCATTTTCAAAGAGACTGCATAGTGGATAAACAGTAGCAACTATTACATAGTTCATCCAAGAGAGAAAACCTTCTACTCAATGTAGTTTCATCGTATCTGAAAACGTATTGACAACTCTTTTCTGGAAACCTGAAAGACTAATGCCATTTTTCTGTATAAATGTTTTGATTTCTGCCTGGACCAGTGCTTCGGGTGCGTGGGCGTTAGGGATATGGACTTTGCCTTGAATATATCACTGCTATTCACAAACATTTTTTCAATTATAATGCTATTCAGCATAATCCAGCAATTGTTTTTGATTATGTCGATTTAGACGACAAAGACGTTCACAATTTTGACTATTTTATTAACGTGTATTTACTGTTATCATTCAAAAAAAAAAATCTTGAAACTACTTTTTTAAATTTCTTTTGTCGTTCTGTTATATTTGCTATTTTGTAAATCCACAGTAGCGTTATCAAAAATGCAATACAATGTATAAAAATAGTTTCTGATATTATATCATATAATTGACATGAATGATATTATATCATATAATTGACATGAATGATATTATATCATGTAATTGAAATGTACGATAGTATATCATATAATTGACATGTATGATATAATATCATATAATTGACATATATGATATTATATCATTTAATTGACATGTATGATATAATATCATATAATTGACATGTATGATATAATATCATATAATTGACATGAATGATATTATATCATATAATTGACATGATTGATATTATATCATACAATCGACATGAATGATATTATATCATATAATTGACATTAATGATATTATATCATATAAGTGACATGAATGATATAATATCATATAATTGACATGTATGATATTATATCATATAATTGACATGAATGATATAATATCATATAATTGACATTAATGATATTATATCATACAATCGACATGAATGATATTATATCATATAATTGACATGTATGATATAATATCATATAATTGACATGAATGATATAATATCATATAATTGACATGTATGATATAATATCATATAATTGACATGAATGATATAATATCATTTAATTGACATGATTGATATAATATCATATAATTGGCATGAATGATATAATATCATTTAATTGACATGATTGATATAATATCATATAATTGACATGTATGATATATATGATTGACATGAATGATATTATATCATATAATTGACATGAATGATATTATATCATATAATTGGCATGAATGATATAATATCATTTAATTGACATGATTGATATAATATCATATAATTGACATGTATGATATATATGATTGACATGAATGATATTATATCATATAATTGACATGAATGATATTATATCATATAATTGACATAAATGTACATTCGAATTTTCTGTTGATGTTTCGAATGAATTAGAATGGTGAAGATCAGTTAGATATAAAGATAGATACTGCGTTAACACACCTTGTCAACTTTTTGAGTATCACTCACAGCTTAATACTAGTACAGTTGTGTAATAGATAAAACAATCTGTAACAATTATATCACCTTCCATGTCATTTGTGCTGTAATAATACATGCATTTTTTCTGCACATATATAGAATATGACAATTTACCTAAACAATCTGTTTATCTTGTTTATATTTTATATCGTTTTCAATTACGTTTATTTAATTATGACCCAAATCGACTGCCATTTTTATAAAGGGACATAAATATAGTAGATTTCAGAGACTTTCTAAATGTCTATGTGTTTACTAATATGGTATTTAGATGTTGTAAGTTAAATGTTTTAAAAACTAATGACAGTTGTAAAATCATTTTTAATACTTGCTGTTTTTCTTGTTGTAAACATATATCTTAATTGAATTTGCGAAGGAAAAATTGTCGATGCAAATATATATTTATAAAAACAGTGTTTCATGAATTCAATACTTTCATAGAAGTGACGGCTTTATTCGATTATCCCAAATAATGACATGCATTACTGATATTTTTTTAATAATTCTGTTTTCTGTATTATCTCAACAAAGTCAATGTTACAGAGTATGCTTTTAAAATTATTGATTTCTTTTATGTATAACTTTTCACACATTTTGTTTTATAGACCTTTTATAAATGCGTGTGTTGTTGATCTTCTCGATACTCTGTAAAGGGATTCAAAAGTCAATGATTACTAGATGAGTTTGAAGCTAACGTTTCCTTTAATCTGTACATTTAAATATTATAACTGTTCACATAGACATTTGACAGTGGAACAAGAATAGTTGTAATTTAAATAACATTAAACATAATTGAAACCTTAACTGTTGTTTTTTTGTTGAAACATTTAAACATGCCAATTTCCCATGGACGGCGCTGATAACATGTAAAACTGGTTCCCGATGGAATGAATATGATTACACTCAGTCTCTGATTATAGAGACTAAATTTCTATGTCGCAGTATACTGGGATTGGGTCAGTTCATAATTTCGTTTGTCCGCACTTACAGGAGAGTGTTTATTTGGCTACAGGAATAATAGGCAGCTGTACATTCTCTTTGTTGTGGCTACAGGACAATTTAGAGAACAATGGAGTAGCCATATAAGTACTGTCCCATTATAACGTCCGTCATGTCACCTTTATCTTGGACGATCAATAACTAGTAAACGCTTTGGTGTACATTCTTCAGATTCAATTTGGAGGTTGGTCATGACTAGAAGTTGTAAGGGCTTTAATAGATTTGAGGTCATAACGACAAAGGTGAAAGTCGCCATTGCCTTGACCACTAAAAGTTTGTCCGACCAATCACCATGGACAACTTTGCCCTATAGTCCTTAAATTTAAGTTAAGTTCATTCACGCATGAAATACTTGTCCAATCAGTAACAAGAGTTTCATCAGTCATAGATTTGTGAAAACGTAGTAATCATTATTCTATAATGTACTAACATAGCATTAAGCGTTAATGACATATGCGTTTGTTTGTTTGTTTGTTTGTTTGTTTGATTGGGTTTGATGTCACACCGACGCAGTATAGATCATATGGCGACTTACATCAAGGTTTTGGTGATGATGACCTTTTGCATAACAGAAGAGGTGACCTAATTCTATAAAACATAGAGACAATGGAATCCCTAAAAGTATGCCAAAACGACAAAGTTGAAAATGTTGCAGGCTCGATTTGATGTCCTTCAAAACAACATCGCATGCTTGCATACACATGAAAGGAAGAGACAATCAGGTCAGGTGGTCAAGAAACTTGCATAATAAACATATTTTAAAGA